CAATCTCGTTCCCAGAGTATGCCTGTTCGCGGGTTAGGTAGTGGCATGACTCTGGGGAAATCGAATCGAAGTCGTTATTTGATTGGCTGCCGTGATCATCAATGCTGCCGACACAATTAATGCGTGTTTTTTACGAGAATTACGCGTGGACATACGCGAAGAGAGAATTATTGATGTTTATCAGATTTGGAATGCAAAATCAAACAATATAAATCGAAGGATATATTATATTAATCGTATGAAAAAGTATTGGGACGTTGGGTATATACTTACAAAATGGCATGGTATTTATGAATGACTTTTATCGATCTACAGTATGAGTATATTTATTATAACCATGAAAGAATTGGCTAAAATGAAATCATCGCACACGTTGTCGTTGTTTTGTTAAATTGACATATTGTTGCCAGGACTTTGGAGTGACAGCTTTTGCTTGTGTTAAAAACTTGAAGCTTTAAACAATACAGTACATTATGGTCAACACTCAACATGTTATAGTCTGTGGTGCTTTTGTAAATGGAGTTATCTATATAAAGTTAAGATGCCAGGTGTTTTTGTAGCATCTGTATAAATTATAGAATAATTGATTTAAGAAGTTCCTCAGGTTGTAAAACATTTGGTTATAGACTTGCTTTGTAAGTGATTGCCACTTGACAGCATGATGGGCTATTCCATTTAATATCCGTACAACCCCTGTCGAGGATACATGTTTTTCATGATTATACCCCTGAAGAATTTCAAACTCAAAACCTTTTACCCCTGAAGAATTCCAAGCTCAAAACCCTTTACCTCAGAAGAATTCCAGGGATCCTCGACAGGGGGGTACGGATATTAAATGGAATAGCCCGATGTAAGGCTATAACTAAGCCAAACCTGAAACAATTTTTGCATCAATTTGTGTCTGGATAAAAAATAAGTAGTGAATTTAAATACAGATGTTTCCTTGTCTGTTGCTATGTGAAACAATGTTGTTTGATCAATAACAATGCTCATTTGCTAAAAATATACAAGTATTGATTCCATTTCCAAAGTATTATACTATGTGAATATATTGGCAATTAATTCAATTCTATATAAAGGAGATACAGTAGAATTGAAATAGCTACCAGTTTCAATCAAATAACTACTTTAATTTCTGTATCAAGCCTCCTGGGTATTATTGTTTCCTAAGCATCATTGAGGGGGCACTTGTTCTATATGTAAAAAGTCTGGTTACCATTAAAAAATGTCCATATTCAGAGTTACAATTGTACTAAATTTTATTAAAATACTGCAGAAATGCAATATATATCATGATTTTAAGAATTAATTGAGGGCTGCATGGTTAAAAGAGGAGGGGCCAGCCGAGGGGGGCTTATTTATTTTTGATTTTTGTATCCAAGAGGAGGGGGGGCTTATTTATTTTTGATTCTTGTATCCAAATGAGGGGGGGGGGGTTATTGGAGAGGAGCTTGAAGAGAAGAGAGCTAAATATAGAAATTACAGTACCTCCATTCCTTCCTCTCACTTCCCAAACATGCTGCAGGAGAGGGGGCAACTGCAGGGGTTAAAGCATGGATTGCAAGGTTGATATATTGCATGTTATGTACCTGGTAATATGGAGAAATGAGCTAGTAAATATATTCTTGCCTATAATTAGTTGCTGATTAAATGTTCAAAGATACACAGTGTGAAGCATGAAAAGCAAAAGGAAGATACCCACTGCAAGAATTTTTCAACAAATATATATGGATTTGTTCACTTCATTTCTTACTTTTGACACCAGTAATTATAGTAATTATAATTACAAACACAATGTACTGTCATTTAAAGACTTTATATGCGCTCCATGTTGTATATATGTTAATGTAATATAATATAAAAAATAATGTGTTTATTGTTAAATATGTGATATATAATACCGTAAACCTCTGACTATATGCCCTGGGCTTATATTGTTTTGAAGCGATTTTTCATGGGCTTGGGGGGGGGGCTTATATGTATGGGGGGCTTATATGCATGGGGGCCTTATACATGGACAATCAATTGTGTTAGTAATAAACAAGTCAGTCACTCATAAACAGGAAAATAAACATGTATTAATAACACACTTCCATTAACACAGTAAGCTATAAAGACAATGACAGTGTTTCAAATATCGTTCTCTGCTATATTTAAAGACAATGTCAATGTTAAATAACATAGTGGGATACCGGGCTTATATTCAGGGGGCTTATATTCAGGGAGGGGGGCTTATATTTGGAATGAGGTGAGCATTATATTCAGAGGTTTACAGTTGAAAAAAGCTTGTATTTTCTTGTCATAGACACACATTTCTGGGTGCATATAGAACAGCTTAAACGTCAGGGGCCGGTTGTATAAAACTCTTAATCACTTTTTTAATCACTATTTTGTAGTTAAATAGTGATTAACTCTCAAATAGGCGCTTCTTATTGGATGACATTTGCACTTAACTATGATTAACTTTAATCACTTTTTTATACAACCGGCCCCAGGTTCTCATGTCGATGCAATGGTCATTTGACATCGCTGCCATCACCATATATAGTGTAGCACAGAATGCTACTAACTCTTGATGAAGGGCCTTCGCTCGAAACGTTGAGTTTCTGCTTATTTTTTAAGGTAGTAATATAACCACTCAGCACAGCATTTCTACATTGGTACTACCTACACTGGTACAGACAGTTTTAGCACAGAATAGCCTTGTACGTATCATACTTTGACATACTATCTGTATCATGCATGCAGAAATGCCTTGGTCATTCATGTGGAGATATGACTATCACGATAGAATTAGTTACGCCAAGTAACATGTCGTACACGTCAGGTAGCAGCTGAAATATTTTAATATTTGCCATAACATGCCCATAACCTGTTGGCAAAACAACCAAAACATCTTCATCCTTTTACAATGGCCGAGATACATAAAATTTTGAATGTCTCGTCTTTTAACGAATATAGAATATTCAAGCCCTCTTTTCGCTAGAACAGCTTTCATAGCTCTTTCAGTAGTTGCCATTGAATATCATTTAATAGTAGTACGATTTAAAGCACCTTTAAACGTATAAAAAACCTTTTTGTACACTATATTCTGATGAGAATCTTTGTTTAAAACAATATCGATTGTGAGCGTGTGCCCGCGCGAATTTAGTAAGCGGAATGAACAAAAGCAATAAAAGCGCATGCGCCATTTATCTCATTTTGGAAAAAAAAATTCGATTTCCCCAGAGTCATGCCACAACCTAACCCGCGAACAGGCATACTCTGGGAACGAGATTGGTCTTGCTTATGATAAGCGCAACGTTTGAACGGAGCGTAAATGATTTGTGACAAAACAAATTAATGTGAGCATGTTCTGTGATTGAGTTGCTTAAATACAAGTGCTAAATGTTTGTGATTCGTTCGTTAAAAAATTATTCTTTAGTTTTATTGTGTTTCGTTGTTTTTTGTAAGAGCAATCACAGAACTTGTTCATGTTGATAAGTCCAGAATAATGACATTTTGTGTACCATCACGATTGATTAATTGATTGATTGAAACATTTTGTAATAACACAAACGTACTCTGGATTACACGTAAAGTTCCAGACACAACGGACGCGAATCGACAACGCGACGCGATTTTTCGATTTTCGCTGACCGTAACTTTGATCTTAGTTTAAATTTTCCAAATATTCAGAAGCGCTACAAAATTTTGAGTTATTTGATCTACATATCTTTCACAATTTTCTCTCATTGGCTGTTTTATTAACTTTCAAAAACCAAAAAATTGCGTCGCGTTGTCGAATCCCGTCCGGTGTGTCTGGACCTTAACATATAGATTTACAGTTCTTTTCAATTTAATTGTTTAATGAATTTTCATGATCAAAGAAAAATATTTTAATTAAATCGTTTCATTTGTTTCTTAGTTGCAATATCATTTTGTAATTCTCATTAATAATGCATGGCTTCACAAAGAAAATCATGACCGTGGATGAAGGAGCTTGCATGTAGCCATACAGTACATCTATAATATTAAATATCCTGCTCAGTTACGAAATCCTCACAGCTTGACAAAATATTAACCAGCAATGTGGAACTGACATCACGGATCTGATACCTGATAGACTATAGCCTATGCCTTGTCCCCCGTGAATCTTAATAGCTGACGTACAAATCACAAACACTTTTTTAGAAATTTTTAAGGATACGAATTGTACAATACCTAATGAAAATATTCCTCGTCCACTCCCGGCTATATACATGTGTAAAATTACGTGAAAAACTAAATAAAAAATGAATAGTTTTTCTTCAAGAAGTTAATGTAGGAAGTCGGAAGTCAGTTGGTCTTGTCCATAAATATCTACACTGTTCCGCCTTTAAAAATACCTTTAAACTATTCTGAATTCCAAAACATGTTTTTTTTAAAGTCTGCTAAATATGTATTTTAAAGTCTGCATATGTTTCTTGATGTGTTGGAATGCGAAACATTTATTTTTATTGGCCGAAGCAGAACCTGGATATAAATTTGATAACTTGGAATGTAAAATTTTCAAAAATGTGGCATCACGTCTACTCGGAATTTTTCAACACCTTAATTCAAACAGAAACAAAGTTAATCATATTGCAGTTCGTCGTTCCTACATGATCACGATTAACGATAAACTGATGTCAGAAGATCCTTGGAACTTAGAAGTTGATCATTTTTCTCTTTTAATATTCCTCGTTTTCTGTCCCTCATTCTCCGGTCATCGATTCCTTTCCTCGTTCCTTGTTTTAGAAATTTCATTGTTCAAATTTTTTGACGGAAACTGCATCTTCTGACATGAGTTTATCGTAACGATGTACAGGACATGATTAGTTTTGTCCCTGTTTGACATAGTGTTGAAAAATCCCACGGAGGCGTGTGACGACATGTCTCACATCAACTCCTCGCGTGACGCAATTAATTTAATCACACCGCAACATACTTTAATTAAACCTCATGCAATATGTATTTTTTTAACTGAGACGGATTAAAAGAAAACTTTTGAATATTACTTGCATTGTCGTAACGAGTATGTAAACCTAAGGCGGGGCTACAGGTGGATTGATGGCCATTTTTGAAACGGCTGTAATTTTAAAGATATTCACCAAAGTTAAGACAAGCTATATCAGTAGAACTCTTACGGCCTGTAGAATCTAAAAATACCTAATTACTAGTACCTACCGTCCTTTGTAAGCTGACACTAGACCGGCAATCATACCACATGCTGTGCAAAACTAGGATGCATATGAGAAAAGATATCTGCTTATAAATTGGATGGACACATGGTACACCTTGACATGTAATTACAGTATCTAATATGTAATACAAAACGTACCTAAAATGCAATACAAAACGAAATAATAAACACTATTAAATGCCGTATTGCCGTGTTGACGAATACCCCACGCTGCGAATCCGTCGAAAATATAAGTCAATAACAGTGCAGAATTTTTTTAAATGGTTCAATCAGAAGGCTAATACAGGGCACCCGAATCTGCAAATCCGTCAGGCCTCCCCACAGATCCGTCGCAAATGGCCGTAACCACGGAAATGAGCGTGTCAGCCAATCAGATAGCCGAATTTAACCCCCGACTCTGTCAACATTCATGCGTAAAACCGCTGTTCGTGAATGACAAACATTACTTTGTCGAAGCTCAGCCGAAGCATTAAACGTATAACTGGACTACGATTCAAAATTTTAATAACACGATCTACTGGCCGCTATAGATAGCAGGAGTCGATTTTTTTAAGTAGGCGATTTTTATACTTAAGTCGCGCGACTGATTTGACGACCCCTAGAACCGCCCCTGCTTTCGTTAACGTCGGCGCCTTCGCTCCCTTCTTTTAGCCGATTATTTAGCCCTTTCTTTCTCAGAAAGCTTTTGAAATTTACAAAATCTTGCAAAAATGCGACTAAAAATGAAATATATTTGCAAGAAATTTAGAAATCATCAAATCAAGAAATATTTGCTAGTTCGCTGTCGTCATGCAGTCGTTATAATGCAAATTTTAAATTGGACCAATCAGTGTTGGCTATTCATAACAGTCCGCTATATTTTGAGATCAGTGAGGATGACCACCCATGAACGGTGACCCACGCCCGCGATCATTGATGAACTTTGGACTTCGCTAATGCTTTCCTTTTCCCGGGGGCATATAGTCGTGCGGAATTAGTACCCTCGCAAAGCGCTTCGCGCCGTCTGCTCGGGGATTAAAGACAACCTTTAATCACGACTATATAATTATTAAAGACAACCTTACGACTATATAATTATTAAAGACAACCTTACGATTAACGCCAGCGATCGAGCATCAAGTATATAATTATTCGTTATGCGGGAAATTAGCCGGTAATTTCCGGTTTCGCTCGCTTCCAGATTCGGTCATTTCGGTTTCCGTTCTTTACAGAGACCCCATAATAAAACTGATATAATGATGCAAATATGTGTCAGTGCAATAGTGCGTTAAGTTTATGATTTATATTTCGATAGCATACCACCATGGATTGTAAAATAACTGGATAGGAAACTTCCTGACGTCACAGTCTGAACCAGCATGAGCTCCAACTTTGAATTTACTGTATGAGTAAATTCTTAAACACGTCCGAATTTATCATTATGATAAATTCGCGGAAAATTTTGAATTTATCATAATAATAAATTCGCGGCACCTAACACTAACCTTAACCCCCAACCCTAACCACTAACCACTAACCCTAACTTTTTAAATTTTTTTAACTTTTTTAAAAATCTAACTTTTTAAACTCTTTTTGCTTTTCAAAACTCTTTTAAAACTTTTTTAAACGATTTTTTTTAAAAACTTGAAAAACTCCCCGCCTCCGCGCGACCAGCCTCCCTTTTAGTGCCATTACAGTTATAACAAGAAATCTTGTCTAATGCTTGTGGCTTTATGATTAACTCTATTTAGTCTAGGACCTGTATATGAGTTTGTATGCGATTCATTTAGGACAGGTAATCTCAACTGTTTTAGGGTAAAATGACCATGGCGGTCAACATGGCATATGTGCGAAAACCTGAATCCGGGACAAAAGTCCTGAAAATGACCCCGTCCTGAAATGGCAGTGTCAAACTCTCTAACTTCCGAGAAGGAAAAGCTATAGCCTTTCTGAAGTGCTTATAGTGTTTAGAAGGGTTGCTTTTGGGGGTGGTCGTTGGACGGAAAAATTTGTCTAAGTATAATAAAATGACTATGCACCACCCCAACCTCGTACCCAGGCTCTTACCTTCGCACGCCCCAAGCTGCGAAAAGACCCTGGTGCCGGCTGGTCACGTGGCTCCCAGGATATTCAATTACCAAGGGAGGGATGGACAAATCTAAATTACAATGCTTCCACTTTGCAATAGTAAAATTCGTTGGCAAGGAGCGGACGTATTGGTTTGAATTGCAAAAAGTGTAATTTGAGAGCACTTTATATCGCATTTGTCATTGTATAATTTGTATCGAATACTTCGAGGAATACTGTTTGTCAAATTGACAATTATGCGCGCGTTTGTGTTCTTTTTGTCATTCACATGCTGCCAGGCCATAGAAGCAAAGTTGATAATTTCAACGGAAACTCGAACGAAGATGCTCGAGGATGCTCGGGTTTCATTGCATTTTTGCTTGTTTGGAATTCGTTGTTCTAAATAGCGCATTTCATAACAACATACTGTACTGAAGCCGAACCAACTAAGCAAGTTCTTTGTTTGGAAAGTATTTATTTATTTATTCAATTTCGCCAGGTTAAATTGCACGATTGATAACATTGTGTTCAAACTTCGACAAGAGTTGCAATTTAAACATACAGATCTCCGTGTTCTTGGGTCCTGCATCAAAACAACTGTGCAGGCCTTTCAAATAATACTGTCGTAAAGCACACGAGCAAATTTTATTTTGACAAATTTTATTTGATCAAATGCAATTGATCAAAAGCTAGCATGCTAGCTTTTGTTCAAATTAAATGCATTTGTCACAATACATTTGTCACAAATTTATCATCTACACGAGCAAAATATCTTTGACATTCAATTTGCCCGTGTAAACGGGCCTTAACAAACTCTTAAATGTACTTAAACATATATTATTTATTCGACAAAAGATGTTATTTATCATTTGTATCCTGCCAGCGCTTTCTATGGAAAGTCTCTGATTTTCATCTGACCTTTGTTGATGTTTGCAAGGGATCGTATTTAATAAACAAGTCCATTTTCTTTCTCCATGGAAATCATTTGAGATATCTACTCAGGACGGTTCGTATATTGTTATAGTTGTATCTCCCTTGAATTCACTGATACAAGATCAAATATCTCGACTGAAATCAAGTGGCCTTCGCGCGTCTGCCATTCTATAAATATTCGCAAAAAATATTCCATGGAGAAATCACAATTGGATTGTACATTTTGGGTTTAAACGGGGATTATACTAACATACGTATACGGATGACTATATTATTAATTGAGGTCAAGTATATTGGTAGATGATATTCATAAACAATTGACTTACTTCTGTTGACATGGGTAAAGGTGTAGCAGATCTAGTTTCATCACTCGAGGAGGACACATTGACAAAGTCAGTGTAAAAGCCAAACTGCGCCTTCGACTTTCAACTGCAGCAACATTTGCCGAACATCTGGCAACGGATAGAAAAACTTCAAGGCATCGCTTGGATCGTGAATCTTT